TGAAAGTGGCACCTTGATGTTGTTTAGGTTGACCTCAACAAGGTCTGGATCATTTCTCTTGATTCTCTGTAGTGTTTCCTCTACATCTGTGTCATTGGGCTGTTCGTCTGGCACTGGCTTATACCGAGTACACTGGATTACGCCTGTTTATATTATACAACTCTCAATTACCACAAATTATATGATTCAGTGCCAGATATATAACAAAATACTATATCACATTGTAAAACTCTACACTGTATACATCTATTCACAGCAATCCCAAGCTACACTAACAAATGTATATGGCATTGCATTACATTTATTTACATTTTTACATGAATGTCCTTTTTTTTCTGGGAATCGAACCCATGATTTTGACAATTCTAGTGACATGCTCTACTGTTTAAGTTACAGGAATGCTTTAGATAATTAATTGCATAAATTTTTACAGAACGATAGCTCAAACACACTTTAAATCACCAGCTGTTTAAAAGTAATTGCAATAATGGCTCAAACTAAGTATAGCAGGTTTAGCATCATTTGTCAGCAGACGCGTTTGACATTCAGGCATGTTTAAATGAATAGTTCACTCAAAAATGCTCACCCTCAGGCCACCCAAGATGTAGATGAGTTTTTTTTTTTTTTATCTGAACAGATTTGGAGAAATTTAGCATTATATCACTTGCTCACCAATGAATCCTCTCCAGTGAATGGGTGCCGTCAGAATGAGAGTCCAAACAGCTGATAAAAACATCACAATAATCCACAAGTAATCCATATGACTCCAGTCCACAAATTAACATCTTTTGAAGCAAAAAGCTCATGTTTGTAAAAAAACTAAACAAATCGATCATTAAGGCATTTTAACTTCAACTGTCACTTCTGGCCAAAATACCAGTCCATAAACAATAACAATGCTTCATCTAGTCAAAAAGTCCATCCCCTGTTGTACTCTGTGAAAATCCACCAAAATATTTTCACTTGTAAACGGTGCTTGATCTGAGAATATTTCTCTCCTGATTCAGACAAAACAACCTTTTCCACTGGAAACAGCAATATAGATAGAGGACTCGTATTTTTTGTCAAAAGCATAAGTTTGAAGTAAAAAATGTCTTTATGGATTTATTACACACGTTTAGCTTTTCATTAATTGATGGACTGGAGTCATTTGTATTACTTGTATAGTAACTTGTACTGTCATATTGTGATGTTTGTATCAGCTGTTTGAACTTTCATTAAGACGGCACCCATTCACTGGAGAGGATCCATTTTTGTCTGGATGAAGAAACAAACTCATCTACATCTTGGATGGCCAGAATGTGAGTACATTTTCAGCAGATTTTCTTTTTTCAGTAAACTATTCCTTTAAGTGTAATCTATAATTCGATCATAAATAATTCAGACAAATATAAAGCATAAAATCAAACAAACATTACAGGACAACTGAATATTCACTTACTGTTCAAGCCCTGTTTGTTGACAATAGTACTGCTGGCCAGTGCTTCATAATACTGCTGATTACTCATCAGTGTGTGCATGCCCAAAATGGCTTTTCAAATTTAGAAAGAGGGGGAAAAAGCACGTCAAAAAAGCATTTTATGTTAGTCAAGTTTTTAAAAAAAAGTACAACATATACATGTAAATCACACGTAAAATCATGTTTTCCAAGATACCAACTCAACATCATTCACATTTACCTGACGAAAAATATCTCAAGCAGAACAGTAATGCCATCAGATGAACCAGTGCAGAATAAAAAACTAAATTGTATAGCAAAACATCTGAATAGGGAGTCAAGAGGAAAGTGCAATTTATGAGTCTGGCATGTATACTGCATCTGATTGTTGACCCTGGGCCAAAGACAACTGAACTAACCTCATTCCCATATGAAGCTCCAATCTGTCTGTGCATATAAGCTGTTCAGACTAAGTCAACTCCTTGAATCCTGCTGTCTTTGAAACATGATCCCAAATAAAAAAAATACAAAATTAACCTCATTTTAAACGAAACCTCTCCATCATGCTAAATGAGAGCAAGTTAGTGTCTGACAGTTGAGAGGGTTTTTTTTAGCCAGTAGGAAAAACTTTGTTCCCCTTTTTTGGTAGCCATGTGTCTTTAGCGCACATGGATGAGTCATCATTGTTATGAAAGAAAAAGAGCTCAGACTCGCATACGCAGTTTCAAGAATTGACATGTGCACAGTTGCACGCCAGTTGACCTAAAAACAAAAATGAATTATTTACCCTGTTGTTCCATACCTGTATGATTTAGTTTTTTCCCCCCTATGAAACACAAAACAATTTTGAAGAATGCTGCTGCTCTTTGTGGTGTCTCAAAAGAGGAAAGATAGTCAAACAAGTTTGGAAGCAACATGGAAGTAAATGACAGAATTTTCATTTTTAGTAACCCTGAAATAACACAAATCATCATGCAGACAACATAATATGCTGAACATGCCATTCAAATACTGAACTAATGTTTAAGAAGTTTTCTGGAAATGTTAGAGCAGCATACAATGTTACAAATAAACCTACTGGAATGATCCGTGGCTTAGAAACGATGGAGCAGGGGAGTGGACAGAGAAAATGAGCAATGAATATGTAAAAATGGAGTGGAGAAAGCTAAAAGACAGACCAGAGAGAGGCACACGGTGAGATACACACAGGAAGGGGGAATTAGTCAATGAAATCACAGGTGGATTCACTCATTTGAATATGCATTCATACTAGGGCTGCACGATTAATCGCATGCGATATTTAACGCGCA